ACTATAACTATTATTAATTATTAGCATTTTATTTTATTTCTATGGTCTGTGTGTGTTTCATCAACTCACAGAAATCATTGGCTTCATTGAAGTGAAAATGTTATGTGTTGGTGTTCTGTAGATCTATTTAAATAGTGCACTGTAACTATATTGTTAACTCCCTTGCCATTAAAACAAAGGTTTATTTGGAACTTGATTTGAACAAGGCAACATCCAACACAGCATAATAACGAAATTGTAACATAATTAGACATGTTACAATAGTAAAAATAATGCAAAGAAGTCAAAAACAAAGTGCAGCCAGACTTGGCCCCAATCACACAGAAAGTGTTTTGCAGGTTGCAAAACGCAAGGTGCGCAACCCTGCCTTTCTTTTGTTTTTTTTTTATTTTATTTTTTTTATTGTATGCCGTTAGTTAAAAAATTGTTGCCAGGCAACTGTGGACTCACCTCCTTATGCTAACCTTCCTGTGTATTCAATCTACTGTTTATTTGTTTTAGTTATTTGACAGTTATTGTAGCTAGTTACCAAAATGGACAGACAGAGGGTACTTGGTTGAGGGTTAGAGGTTGTCATCAAAGAATTTGTTGGGCACAGGGAAAGGAGATCTTTGTGGGTAGTAAATGGACCTAAAAAAGAAGGTGGATCACGGGGAGTACCACCAGTTGGTCCAGGAGCTTTGCCTCGATGATGGCTGTTTTCCAGGCATATTTTAGGATGATTCAAGTGCAGTTTGACAACCTGCTGTCTATTGTCGGGCCGTATAGCTCTGGGTATCAGGCAACCACTACTACCAGTTTCTCCTCCTTGTTTACCAACTGTAAATTTGTTGTCGTGACCACCACAGAGGGCCCGGCTTTCAAATCATCCCTTTGGACAATGGGAAAGAAAAGCTGAGATGACGTAGGGCCCGCGCTCTACGTCATCTCAGCTTTTCTTTCGAGGAGTTCAGAGTGTTCGGTAGAAGTACTTGGCACTTAGAGCACAGAAACACAAGGCGTGTCACAACGCAAAAACAGTGAGCAAAACACTTCATTGTCATTGAAAACAATTACAAAAAGCCACCTCCAGCTGCTAAAATGCTTTCTGTGTGATCAGGGCCTTAATCTGTTTAGGGGTCCTTGGGCAAGAATGATCTGCTGGGCCCCTGTTAGCTGCTGATTCCTCCCAGTGTGTACAGTTTTTTTTTTTTTTTGTTTATTTGTTTCTTGTGTGTAAACACCAAGGACCATGCTGGAAATAAGTATTTTACTTTAGCATGTCATCCTTTGGATTACTGTCTTGCCGTCTTCCAGAAATCAATCAATCAATCAATCAAATCACCTTTGCTATGAAAAACAAGTGCTACGTGACAGAAACTTGGTGTCCTTTTCTAAAAGTTCAGCACATTAGCTCATACCCCCCAGTGGGCCTGGTCATGAACTGATGTTTTTGCTGAGCTTTGCTAATCTGTTAATCAGAATATCTATTTTAATTCAGGTACTTCCCATTTTCTCCAGCCATATGTACCTACTCTGTAGTCTTGATACTTTCCACCGATCCTTTCATTTCCCTACAATGTCAGTTCATGTTACATGCACTCGTCATGAAGTTCACTTTAAACTTTTCTGTATAAAATCATTAGAAGTTTAATAGTTAACAAACTTTACTTGATTAAACACATTCATTTCATTATCAATACAATCATGATATAAATCACACACATTTGTACTCATAGATACTGATTCAATGCCTATTACAGAACAGTCAACAATACAAATCACACATCATATTATATAATTTCTTCATTTTACCAAATTTGTACTTTAAGCATTTTAAGTCTCTTTTTCAATCTAATCTCCATCTCCTCTTACTGCTGTTCTCCTGTGGTGATTTCTCTTTTCCACTTGGTCCTGGCTCTGTCTGTGATGGTGAAAGGTCACTTATGGGTGACATGCAGGTCATGTAGTCGATAATCAGCGCCGGTTCTTTCTCCTCTTCATCTTCTGGACTGTCAGTGATAGAATGAGCTTGTTGGGGTTGCTCCTTTTCGTTAGGTTCTTCTGCTGGTTCTGTGTTCTGCTCGTTTCATGTTTGTGATTCAACAGGGGTATTTTCAGGCCTTCTCCTCTTAAAGGGGATTTATGGTTGTGGGTAGACCCTACACACATAGCCTATGCATGTCGCCTATGCTGTTGTGAGCATTTTTACTTCTGCAGTGGTGTGTCTGGTCACTCTGCAGTTACACCTCCAAAACACTAGTCGGCAGCAGAGGTTTCTGTGAAGTGCTGTAAAGTTCAGTTGATTCAAAACACACCCAAAACACACATTAAATATGGCTTAATAGAGACAATTTCAAACAGAAATACACAAATTGGCTTCACTATAACTCGCAGCATTCACAGACAAACACACTGTTAATCCAGACAGATTTTCCCCACAAATACAACATGCTAACGCTAACGTTAATGCTAACATGCACAAGCCTATGGCATTTTACATTGTATAAATTTGCCTAGCAGCTAGTGATCTTTTCATCTTCTCGTATAAAACCAGGGACAATGGCAACATTTAACAAAGGTAACGGCACACAGTTTGGCTCCATTACAACTCACAAATAGGGCTTTCACACTGGCAGGGCACTGGCATGGGTCCGGTTCCCGAACCCAATTTCGAACCAGCCGACGCGCTCAGACTGAAAAAATAATTGGTTTGGAACCTGAAAAGTGGGTTCCCAGCGGAACCACAAAATAATTGTTTTTTCCTTGCGCACCGTGACATCATAAGTGGGCGTGTGACATTCTAGGCTGTCAAGACGAGCAGGAAGGTAGGAAAGATAAGACTATGGAGAAGAAGAATATACAGTGGTCTGCCGATGAAACCAAGTGTTTGGTGGCGACTTGGGCATCGACTCAATTTCAGGAAAAGCTAGAGAGCACTACAAGAAAGACCAGACCAGACCAAATAATCAATAAACTTAAAAAACTGAAGAAGGATTATAGAGACACCAAAAAAGACTTGGGTGGAGCTGCTGGACGTGGTGATAAATGCCATTCCTACAAGTTGCTGGACAGCATGATGGGTCAGAGACCAGCTAACCAGGTGACAGGGGTGCTTAATTCAGCCACAGCTGCCACAACAATTGATGCCGACCTTGCACTGCCTGCCACGCCTGGGTCTTCCACATATTATGACGGTAGGTTGACTACATACTACACATTGTCGATCAAACCCTGGAATAATTCATTTTGCCCAAAACCTAACTTAAATGTTGCTGTGTTGTTAGGTTGCCTGGCAACCAATCTAAATTTAGGACATCTTAAAATATTACAAAATGTGCTCCATCTTCTGCATATAATGTGTATTTTGGGAAACCGTAGGCTATAATCAAGCCTGACGACTTTCATGACCACATTTCCAAGATGTTTCTGTTTTGGTGGGTAAAGTAGGCAACGGAATATTTCAGATATACCAGTAGGCCTACTGTACATACACGTCATGTGTGACGTAGCCATCAGAATCAGAAATGCTTCATTAATTCCTGAGGGAAATTACAGTTGCAATCAAAATTATTCAACTCCCATTGCATATTAGGCTTATTGGCAAAATGTACAATTTTTCAGCTGTTTGCAATAAACAAAGTAGACAAGAACAGTTGAAATAGTTTAATAAAACTAATATTAAAATGGTTTTTATCCAAATTCAACACAAAATGCTACTTTTAATCACTACTGCAGTCTCAAAATTCAACCCCCTGTCTCAAGCACACCTGGTGCAACTAATAAAGGGCTTCATTAGTTCAGGTGTGCTTGAGATAGAACACATAAATAACTGGACTGGCTAGGGGTTTGTTGAGAGCGACGTTTGATTGCATGTTAGAAATATGGCTAAGTCAAAAGAATTGTCCAAAAAGTTCAGAGAAGAAATCATTGCCTTGCACAAACAAGGAAAAGGATACAAAAAGATAGCAAAAGCTCTGAATGTTACGAGAGATACAGTTGGAAGCATAGTTCACAAGTTCAAAGTTAAAGGAACAGTGGCGACACTACCTGGACGTGGCAGAAAGAGGAAACTATCAGCGGCTGCCACCAGATTTCTGAGGAGGCAAGTGGTCAAAAACCCTCGAGTGACTACAAAACACCTGCAGCAAGACTTGGTGGCAGCAGGCACTGAGGTTTCAGTTTGCACAATAAGGCGCATACTAAACACTGAAGGGCTCCATGCCCGGACTCCAAGACGTACACCACTACTGACCCAAAAGCACAAGAAAAGTCAGCTCCAATATGCTCAGAACCATATAAATAAGCCACAGAAGTTTTGGAATTCTGTTCTGTGGAGCGATGAAACAAAACTGGAACTTTCCCGGGCCTATAGAACAGCGGTATGTCTGGAGGAAGAAGAATGAAGCATATGCTGAAAAGAACACCCTGCCTACAGTGAAGCATGGCGGTGGCTCAGTGATGCTCTGGGGCTGCTTTGCTGCCATGAGGAATGGCCTA